CAATCTCTACTAAAACCAATAGAAGTCGTCATAGGCAAGAACCGAATCTACATCCAAAATCTCTAGAAGTCAACAATGGAAATTCTTGAAAGATGGAGACACAGAAAATTTGCTTTCAGAAGATAATTGATTTCAGCCGAGATTTGACTCGGGTCGTGATAATTAGATTACAAATTATAATGGACGGACACACATGACTGGAACGATTCTGCTTGTTGGTAACTATAAAAAGACCAAGCGTGTTCTATGTAACAATTATTTCTAAAATAATAATAAAAAGCAAAATACTTTTTTGTGATAAACATTTTTGGATTGTTATATATTTCGGCCGATATCTTCGAGACCAATAGGTCTTTCGCTGTGATTCTTGCAGAAATACGATCTAAATATGTCCATAAACGTACTCCATCATACATAATTTATTTTACATCTTTAGTTTGCTGGCTTAAGGCGTATATATTGGAATTTTTTCAAATTTTTATTGAGGCAAAATACTTATTACACTCACTGTACATAGAGGTGTAGGGCATAAAAACATTTTGTTCTGATTGGTTGAATCAAATTTGCCTAAATTTTGAAATGTCAAGGCAAATTGAATTTTATTTGCCTTGTTCAAGGCCTATATAAGGTCGGCCAGTAAGCACAGATAAGTCAAATCTTATTTTGAAACCTATACATACATACAAAATTATGTTAGACGTCAAAACGAAAATATTAATATTTTGTCAACATTCAATTATTTTTTTTAAATTGTCTTTGTGAAGCACATTCGGACTATTTTAAGAGTTTAATCAAGGTTTTTAAGTAAATTGTACTACAAATTATGAATTGTGTTGTGTTTTGGCTGTGTTTTTTTATTTAAAGGCGAAACAATTAGTTTTCGCCTCGGAAAAAAATTTACGTTAAAATTAATTTATCTCTATGAATTCGCTTACTGTTCGACCTTATATAGGCCTTGGCCTTGTTTACAAATTTTGACATATAATGTTACCAAAAAACTTTGCTTTGTTGTGGTAATTCGCCGATGCGACTACCTAATATCTGTGCTTTGGGCATAATTATTGAAGGTCTGATTTGATAAATAGATGATGGTAACCATTTTTATCTTCACTTGATTTTGTCATTTTCAAACCCTAACCATTTACGTACGACAAGTGGCATATTTGAATATAATGAATTAAATTGCAATACTATGTAATAATTTCTGTGATATTTATATAATGTCTTACTCTATATAATACGTTTTCTCTTATCTTTTTCCTATCCTCTGTCCTTAGTGAAATTTTGAATGAGAAAATCTCAAGCCATCACACTGAAAGTCATTTATTAACGATGAAACCAGGTGTTGTAGATGTTGAACCCATAAGGTATTTAATATCTTTAGGTGCCGAGTTCATATTCGGAGTCTTCCCAAAAATGGATCGGCTGTTATTCTCTGGTTCCATTCTAAACTTTTTGAAATTGTCCCTTCAGTTGCTAGAAACCATCATAAGAAAGTCGATATTGTCATGCCAGACCCATGGTATTGTTACGTTCTTGGATTTTACTTAATCCCGTGTAGACGTTGTTTTATTTCCCAGTACAGTTCGTACTAAATAAAACGCGGGTTCTTTCTGATTACGATTATTACAATGAGTTTATTGACACACTTTACTTTGCACTTCACCTTATAGCTTTACGTTACTTAACGGTTTCAATTCGCGATCTGATTCACAACTGACTAACTGCCTTGCCATTTCCTCTATTTATATGGGCCTTGCCTGTCGCTACAGAAGTTTCTAGACGATCTGGTAACATCTGGATTACGAACAATCTACCAATGCAACACACACATACAAACTTACATTGAGTGAACAATAACAACAACACAGGCTAGGAAGTAACAAAGAAAGAGGAATTAAGCGATCATCAATGATGACGTTTAGCAAGAATTGTACGTCAATAACAAAATGAAAGAGGAAATGGAAGGATGTAGAAAAATCTATACAGTAGTTGTTGTTGTGAAGTTATTCGAATAAACTGCGTAGTAGAAATTTACGTTACAATTCAAATTCTTAAATTAACGGAATTCATCTAAATTATCTTAAATCTAAATTCGTAACATTGCCCCCCGCTTAAGCCTGTTCATCCCGAATAGGCACAGTTCCCGTTCCGTAGGGGGTCAGCCGCTCCAAATGTACAACTTTCATCTTCGACCTGGGACTGTCGCTCCTCTGGATGCGATAAACCACATCATTTATTTTCGTGACAATCTTGTAGGGTCCTTCCCAGTGCGTTTGCAATTTGGGGCATAGTCCTTTCTTTCGTTGTGGGTTAAACAATAGTACCAGTTGCCCTTCTTGAAACCCATCGGTATTTGCCGCTCGATCGTACCTTGCCTTCATGCGGTTGCTAACCATTTTTATTCGATGGCGAACTGCATCGTGGACTTTACTAAAAGAGTTTTCACTGTCTTCTTCTTGGTTCACATCGTCGTTTGGGGTAGCACCGAATATCAAATCGCCAGGTAGCTTTAATTCATTTCCGAACAGAACTTTGGCTGGGGTCCGGGATGTGGAATCATGAATGGCCGATCTATAAGCCAGTAAAAACTTTGGAATATGCTCATCCCAGTCTCGTTGGCCACTGTCCACCACTTTCCGTAGATGTTCTTCCAGGGTGCGATTGAATCTTTCCACCATGCCATCTGATTGTGGATGTAGGGGCGTCGTTCTGGTTTTCTTGATTCCGTAGGAGTCACACATTTCCTTCAAGATCGCTGATTCAAAATTGCCATCTGATTGTGGATGTAGGGGCGTCGTTCTGGTTTTCTTCATTCCGTAGGAGTCACACATTTCCTTGAAGATCGCTGATTCAAAATCGGAATGAACCTCCGATGGAACACCATAGCGACAAATCCAATTTTTGCTGAACACATCCACAATTGTCCTGGCTTCTTGATTTGGGATAGCATAGACATACCGGTTCCCAGAGTCGCTTGTTGGGAACGGTCCAGCTACATCCATTGCGATTCTTTCAAAAGGGGCTCCTGAATTATACTGCTGCATGTAGCCTCGACTCTTCCGTCTTGGACCTTTAGCTCTTATGCACCTTTCACAATTGGCGATCCAGTCGGCAATGGATTTTTAACAGCCGACCCAGTAGAATCTCTGCTTTACCTATTCAGCGGTTTTTGGTAAAGCTGGAATTTAAATGAAAGAAAAGCTGAAATTTAAATGAAAGAAATTTACGTTACAATTCAAATTCTTAAATTAACGGAATTCATCTAAATTAACTTAAATCTAAATTCGTAACAGTATAATAAGGAAGGTAGTCTCGTGCACTCATATGTTCAATTTTTTTCTTATTGCACTTTCATTCTCAAAAATTATAATTTTGATTTCCTACTTAGTTAGGTAAAAAATGTATAAGTGAAAATGTATAAAAGATCGAAAAAGCGGAAAATTAATTATATGGGGTGTTGGTATTTGTTAAGACCCAGTAGGGACAACCGATCATGACTAAATCGTAGTTGTGGATTATGCTAATATTAAATAAATGGTGGACATTAAATCGGAACGACACGATTTACATATCCAGAATCTTCAATCGGTGGCTTGACGTGAAAAGGCAAGAAGTCCACCATTTCTAAACATTGAAATTTTCTTATAGACATTTTCAGTAAATAAAAATACACGATTTAATAAAAAATACTATTACCTCATTTATTGCTGTTATTTAGTTGTGATGACCCGAATTTTTGTTCGCTAAGTCGAATTTATTATATGTCTCTCCTATAAAATTATTAAATATGGTCTTATTGCATTGACATGTTAAGTCAGTGATATGGGTTCATACTTAAAATTATTACCTTTTTTACCTCCTGGGAACAATATCCCCAACAAAAACTAAGGGAGCTGATGAGGATTAGTGGCGAAATCCGAATCCCTGCCTTACCCCTTGGTGGACAATGACATTTTTCCCCAGTTATAATTATTTTTTTTATATAAAAACACCATACTGGGATGCATAACCAAAATGCGAAGTTAATGAATAACATTAACTTTCCTGCCTCTCAATGAAAACTTCAAAAAGGACAGAGACAAATTACCAAATATAAAGAAACGGGTTATTTAGAATAAGACTTTATATGAATATTCAAATATGCCACTCGTCGTACGTAAATGGTTACGATTTCAAATACAAATTTTATTTGAAAATTACAAAATCAAGTATAGAGTTTTTGGGGTTGCCATCATCGATTTAGCAAATGAGATTACCTTTAATAATTATACCATACCGCACGTAATTTTTCAGATATTTTATAATATCGATAGTATGAACATGTGAGACAAGTTTTTCATATAAGAAAAAATCTCCTATAAGAAAAAATCGCATATAAGAAAGATTATCAAAAACTACGAGTTTATACTTTCTTATATAAGAAAAAACGCATATAAGAAAGAAATCTACCGTTTTTTCTTTTTGAGTTTCTTATATCCGATATCCACTGTAGTTTGTTATTTTGGGAATAAGAAAAAAGTCCTTAAAATCTGATTCGTATTTCTTTCCCAACATTAAATCGACATAACTCAAATATTTAATGAATGGCAAATTTGTTCGACATTTCTGGTAATTTAATACAATTGTAAAAAATAAAACTTGTTTATTTTTAATAATTTTTCATGTTTTTGTAAATGTGTGACTTATTTGAAACGAAAATATCATATGTCTATTATAAATAAATTTATTAGCATTTCCAAGAACATGTTGCGTACAATTATACCTGTGAAGGATACAATTAAGTGTTAATCTATCATTAAACAAAAGATTAACAAACAACAAAGCATACAAACTAAATAAAAATCACATAAAACGAAAAAAACAAATATTTTCTCCTTGGTAGATAAGAAAATTCAATAAAAATGCCGAAAAGAAACTTAAATAACTTCTTCTATAAAAACTGACAAATTTTATGCGTTAGAATCATTCGTCACAAGAAATCGGAGATACTAAATCACATTGACGTGTGGACTTCTTGGGTGTTAACATTATGACACAATTATATAAAATTTTGGTAAGTAAATTAAATAGTTTTTTTATGAATTATATTCATACATGTCCCCCTTAGCCTTTGATGGTAGTGTTGGCCTTTGTCCTGATTGCCCAACAGATTGATGCCAAATGTGATACATGTGGCAGCAACGGTATTGCCTGTATCAATGAAACATCGTTCCACATGTGTTATGGCTCTCTTCCGGATACCAGTAGTGTTCTAACTTGCCCCGAAGGACGCATCTGCGTACGTAATGGTTTGAAGTGTGTTGTACCTGGTACTGGGGCCGAGCCTGATTGCATTCGTGAGAAGAGCTGTGGGGAATGCGATGGCTCAAAGTTATTTACCTGTACTAGTCGCAGGACATACGCCATGTGCAATGGAACGAAAATTGTCGAAAACGGAGGTGGAGTATGCCCGAAAAATTTAATTTGCAATTCGTCCGGTAGAGAAATGTGCGTTACTGAATGTGATTTAAATGGAGCAATTGAATGTGATCGTGATCCATAGAAGTTTGAGTTTTGTTTTGCTCTTCTGAATGTAAAATTGGCAATAAAACTCGGAAGAACTAAAGTAAGAAATGGCTTTAAATAATGCAAGTTAAAATAAAAGTATTTTGGATCTGACGTAATTGTATGAATAATTGTACAATTTATATACAGGATTTTCATCATTGTTATAAGTAATCTCAATGAAAAATTAACTGTCGTGTATTTCGAGGATGTATTGAGACATTGAGGACACAAAATGTCATTTACTACCAATTCGGTTGAACAAATTAGTCGTTCATAATAAATATCATCGTTATTAGATGCTTATATACATATATTTGTGTGTATATGTATAAACAAATCGAAAAATTTCAACGCGATCAGCACAAGTACATGCTCAGGCATGTGGTGTGAACTAGGAATATTTACTTCGTACGAAAATGGACAAAATTGCGGACTTTTTTCTAATAGAATATATTTATTTTGATGAGATTTACCTTTTAAAAAGATATTACAGCAAATCTTATTCTATGTGGTATAAAGTGATGTCATTTAAAAATAATGATACAAATTTGAAGACAAAGGGATTGAAAAACCTTAATAGGTTGATTATTAGTGGGTTTTAATATATATATATATATATATATAACTCACTATAACTCAATATTTCCCAATTGATAATTAGCTTTTAACTATATGCATAAGTGTTATTCTTTATATTCTCTTATTAATGAATAAGAGGAGTTATTCTTTCAGTAACCCACGAATCTTTTGATCAGCTCGTATCATGTTTCTTCATGTAATAGGGATGTGGAGTAACGCCATGTTTTCTAAAAATCATTTTCAGGCAATTATTTTGAACAATCTGCATTTGTTTTAGATGACAATTGGCTGCTCCATACCAAAAGGGCGATGCATATGTAAGACAAGGCCTGATAACGCATTTGAAAATCAAATTTTTATTTTGCAAGCTTAAAAATTGAGCGCGTGTTCAGGAAAGCGATTTCATAGTTTTCTCGCAGGTTGTTTGAATGTGCATATTAAACAGGAGTTTTTGGTATAGTATTACTCCGAGATATTTGACATCTTTTTCATAATATTTTTTCCAAATTTAGCTCAAGTTCGAAGATGGGGATTATCGTTCCACTCCCTCTGGTACTTCCCCCATAAAAATGATTAAAATTGTGCTTAAATTAATTTTATAATATCATGTGAAAAGAATACCCGATTTAAACCAAATATTAGACAACCAATTATTATGTTTACCAAGCCTAGATCAAGTCGATTTTTCTGGTACCACCCACACAAATGGCCAACATTTTCAATATAATTAAATCCAATATCAGGCCAATGGAATATCCGAGTAGAACCAAATATTGCACAACTTATTATCAAATTGTTGGTGAGGAGCGAATAATCTTGGAACATATGACAGAAGAAGACCTATGTCGACTATGTTTTCCAAGAATATTTTACAAGCTATAGGCCACAAGGAATAGTAAATTAAGCCATTTTTAAAGACTAATTTTTGGGCAACAAGAAACATAGAACCCAAAATATCAAATTGCAGCCAATTCGGTTGCAAAACGCGTCCAGAAACACTGAAATTGCCAAAATGTAATATTTAATAATTTTTCAGGTTTTTTTACCCATTTAGAACTTAAATATAAAACAGATAATTCGGTTGGAAAATATGTCCAAAAATCCTGAAAATACCTAAAATGTGGGCAGTATGTGGTTTTTCCTGCTAAGATTCGGACCTGTTTTCTAAACATTTCATTGAAATTTCAAAAAATTCATTTATTAATTTACAAAAATTAATATTGACCAAGGTTTAAAAAATATAGATGTCAATGATGACAGATTATAGAAATAGATGACAAATAGAGGGCATAACATTTATAGATGTCAGCCAGTTAAAATAGATGGTTATCCTCTAAAAAAGAGTTTACCTTATTATAGGACACACATGTCTAGATCGAATCAGCTAGTCGAGATATGATGTGATATGATCGATATACTAAAAGGTAGATCTAGGATTTTGCGGGGTTACAAACTCTTGGGGCCACACAAAACTATAATACCCTGACAAAATAGTTGTGTAGAGTGTAATTAGAAAATAGAAAGTAGAGGATGTAAAGAAAGCTGTAAGGGAAAACAAAATATTTTTTTTTACTTTTAATCTTAATTATATCATATCAACTATGTCGAACCGTCCTCCAACTGTTTCTGCATCACTGAAGGATGAAATGGTAAAACATTTACTTGAAATGCCGTATTCTACGTTCACCTAAATATACAAAAGTAAGGACCAAATGTACCAGCAATTCAAAAACTTCTAGAAAACAATAAATATTTCATAAAACATATGAAAATTTGAAAAAAAAAACTCCAATGTTGGAAATTCGCCTAAAGGAACGTTTCGATTTCAAAAGGCTTTAATGAAGAGATCCAGTATTTCTGCCGTCTGATTTATATTCGATTTCGATTTATATGTGAATCTATAAGATCAAATCGATTGTTTAAGTAGTACAATATATAAAAGCTTAATAGCTTTGCTCAAAACTTAACAAAAGTGACACTCTTTATTATTTAAGGGAACCTCCCCCCCCCTCCCTCCACCCATTCTGAATTTTAATTTTTCAAGATTTTCAAAGGGGTGGTAAATCAATACCAATGCTTGTTTAGCTTTGTAACTTTGCACATATATAATTGAAAATTTAAAAGAGAAGAAAAATAATTTCCAAAAAATTTTTGTTATTTTTTTGTTGTTGTTTTTTGTAATTAAAGAAAAGTCCTTATTTTTGATGGCGGGCATGATACCACCTCACTGGAACATCGGAATCCGAAAATTCCAACGGTGTTTGAAAGAGTACATGTCTGACTCTCGTATGAACTAGGATTATTGACTTCGCTCTAAAATTAACAAAATAGTGGACCTTTGAAAAAATATTTTTGGAAAATCGCCGATTTTTTACCAAAAACCAAGTTAAAAAATAATGAAGATGTTCACCAATTGACTTTATCCTAGTTCATACGAGAGCTATACACTCCCAGAGAAACGTTGCAAAATTTGGAACCGATTGGATTATTAGTTTTTGAGTTATCGTGCCCGCCATTCGCAAAAAAATGTTTAGAGAAAAACGTGTTTAAAGTTTGAGAAGTCCTTCAGCCGTCACTTGATGCTGACACAATAAATCGGATATATCTTCAAGAGTTCTTGAGATTTTCACTTGAAATTTTGTAGGGACATTCTTTAATTAGTATAGATTCGAATTATATCAACAAAAATTTTGACCCCGAGAATGGGGGGGTCCCCTTAATAGTTCGAATTAACAAAAAATTAAAATTTTTTCAAACCTAAACTTTTGAGACACACTTCGAGATTCCCATAGTTCAATTTTGATATACTGTCATAAAGAGGACCTTCGACCAACTTTCCAAGAGCCCATTCACAAAAATTTAGTGTTGCGGTAGGAAACAGAAACAGAGCACGCATTTTGATAATAAAATTCAAAGATCTGCAAGCGGTTTTCTTTTGTAGGATTATGTCTGATAAAATTATGTGAAACAAGACACGAAACGTTCATGAGTTGTTTAAACCAGTGTTGTCAACAAGATAATAGCTATAAATAACCCTTTACTTCTAAAACTATTTTAACAAAGATTCAAACGCAATCGGAGAATCTTTGGGAATTAGATCAAAATTGGCCGAAAAAAAATCTATGAGCTATATCCAAATTTTATCCGGTATCGATAAAATCTAACACACATCATTATAGAAATGTTGGAAGATATTATTGCAGAAAGTCGAAGAACGTGCCCTATTTTAAATTTTAACCAGTAAGGAAAGTAGTAAAGTCGGTCGGGGCCGACTATATGATACCCTTCACCACTTGGGTATATTCAACAGATGAATCCTAACTGACGTCGCATCTTTGAAGGACCAGTAAAATGAAATTGGATCCATAAACATGTCATTCTTCAACTTATACTAAATTTTTCATTTGGTCAGATAAAGAGTTGGGATAAAATTTTGTAAATCATTTTAAAACAAATATCAATCGGACACCCGTTGATTATTTAAATAAATATCTGATAAACATGTGGAGTTTAGTGTACCATTTACTTCAAATCGGAAGAAAATATATATAAAAACCATATCGAAATATAAACATATTTCATCGAAACTTGTCACAGGTTTTGAGTTCTTGATGCATCATTTACTTAAAATCGGGAGAAAATATATATGGTAGCTCTATCCAAATTTGAACTGATTTTAACAAAACTTTCCATATGCTAGGTTATATTAACTTCAGTGCGTTGTGCAAAATTTTGTGTCAATCGGCCTAATGTTGGATTTTTGGTGTACCATTTAACTAAAATCAGACGAAACTATATATGACAGCTATATCTAAATCGGAACCGATTCCTACAAAACTTGGCAAACGTTAGGCAATATTAATTTACGTACGTTGTGCAAAATATTGTAGCAAACGGCTTAA